ATTGACACAGCACAGAGACTGCACACCTCCACATCAGAGACCCAGAGCAGCCACGGGGCAGTTCAGGGCCCTTCCATAACCAGGGCCTGTTCCAGCAGCCCTCGAGGCTGACACAAAGCCACTGCTGGCTCTCAAACAGCCCCTAATTAGGGAAGATTCCCAGTGCTCCCAGTCCCGACGGCCGTTCCACTGACTCGGCTCCCTTTTGCCTCCAAAGACAAACATTTGAAACCCTCTGGAACTTTGTTTTCCCCTTCTTCAGGTCACACCTCAAGCACCTGAGCCGTCAGTCCTTACCCAGCTCCAGCACAATGACCACTACCCTGGCTGATGCTCTGTATCCAAAAGTGCCCCACAGGAAATGTTGTGCTGTTACTCTGAACTTGGTTTAAACATTTGAAGGCTGGAGAAGCCAAGGATTTTCTTGCCACTCCACTGCACTTCCAAGGTGACTTGAAAACCAGAAAGCTGGGCACCAGCCTGAAGAAATGACACTAATTTAGACTTGTCACCACCTGAGTACTCAGCTCAATCTCTTCATCTTCCTCGAGAGATGAAGGTGTTCAGGTCAGCAAAGGCAGCTCCCATCCACATGGAAATTAAAGGGAATTGTGGAAGGGGGAACACCACAAACCTGATTTCCAAAGCCCTGATTCTGCTGCAGCACATGCCAAAGCACCAACCTGATTTTGCAGGTCACCCTTAAATACATTGAACTGCAACCAATGGCAGAATGGCTCTTGAAGCCAGCCCAAGCCCCTCCGAATGTGGGGACACACCAGAGCAGGACTGAACCACCTGAATGCCCAAAAAACATTAAAATGCTTCAGAAAGTTCTGCTTCAATTCAAAGCTAAAACCTGCTGCAAGCCTGGGCTTGAATCCCTAAGGAAAACACTGCTAATCCCGGGATGAGGCTCGAGCAGCTGCTTGCCAGAGGCCTCCACAGGAACCGGCCCCTGGAAGGCTGCCAGGGATGGAAGTTGTGCAACACCCAGCGAGGCTTCGGGAAGAGCTTTCCCAAACTCCTGTGGCCAAGTGCTGAGCTACAGACAGAGCCAGGCACGGGCTGGAGCACAGGACAGCCTGGGCCACTGAGCTGCACTTTACCTTTCTCTTTGACCAGGTCCTTCAGTGACTGCCACTTGACGTCGAAGGGGATGTTGGTGATGAAGGCTCGGTACCTCTTGGCGGGGTTGGCGTAGGGCTCGAAGCGATTCCCTCCCCTCTTCATCCCCTTCTCCTTCTTCTTCTCATTGGGGGTCGGGCGCTCGCCTTCGCTGCGGGAGAGAACCCTGTGAGCTCC